GCATTTAACTTGAAGCAATTTCAAGAACTTTTGAAAAGGGTGGCAACAAGCCATGAGGTCCCTCTCCAAGATGTGCAGCACCAATTCCTTAAAATCCTTCAAAATCCATGGGAAAATCGCCCTGCCCATTGATGAGGCAATAATGGCGGTATCGGATGAACTCTGGCAAACCCCTGCCTCCAGCCAACCAACCTGTAAGAGGGTGGACAGGAAGTATTTCATGCCTGTCAAGGACATGGACTTTCTGTTCTCCCACCCGCAGCCAAATTCACTCATCATGAAAGCTACATAGCACCGATCTAAGCTCCCACAATTCTGGGCTATGGCCAACGATAAAGACCATAAAAAGTTGGACCTTTTGGGCAGGAAAATATACTCTTCCACCAAATTGCAGCTGAGGATTGCAAATTACTCAGACTTCCTAGCAAATCATGACTTTGACAACTATTCTAAATTGGGGGAACTCATGGAGCACCTTCTGGACACCAAAAGGCCAATCTTGAGAGCTATTATTCCAGAGGGCTATATCATTGCCTGCACAGCACTACAATCATCACTTTGAAATGGTCACAAAGAGGGTTACTGTAAATTTACAACAGGCCAGGACACTGCTGCAAGGGAAACCACAATCACGGTCGTGATGCCCAAGGCATCATGGTAGCAGACCTTGGGGTTACCCAGAAAGCTACAATTTAAAGTGAAAGACCTGCCTTTTGACAAGCAGAAGCTATTTGCCACCAAGACAGACAAAGTCCTACACACCAGCCACTGCTCTGAGTTGATCAGTGTTTAGCTAACATCTATAAGGAGAAGAAAGGAAAGAATAGGCCCAACCCGAACTGAACTTGAGCAGACTGCCACATCTAGAAACCAACAAGGACAAATTAGTAAAAGACCAATTTATTGATATTCAGGTGAACTTGGACTTGCAAATCAACATCAATGAGAAGAGACCACAGATACTTCATGAGGCAGAGAAATTTGCTCCAGACCTTGAATCTTTCCTTACACCAGTCCAGGAGGAAATAAATCTTTTTCTAGTTTAGGAAACTGACCATAATGAGCCCTATAAGTGCACATCTATATCTAAGCATGCATGATGAATGGGCGGGGAGGGGCTTCTAGTTTGGTTCATGACATTTGTAACAGTTTGAAAGACTGGTTTGTAAAATGAGTAAGAGTGACAATAAATCCAGTTAAAATTAGAGGGAGAGGATGGGAAATGGTCACAAAGAGGATTACTGTAAATGTACAACAGGCCAGGATAGTAACAAAATATAGTGAAGATTCCTATTGCCATTCAGTAAATTGGGTGACATCATAATGAAGGGGGGAAATCAGAATGTACAAGATGTAGCCTCATATTTTTTTCCTTCAGATCTGAGCAGTTAACCAATAATAGGAATATGGCTACTGAATATGTAATAGGAACAAAAGAATTGTGAGCATGGTGTCAAGTATCAGAGGGGTAGCCGTGTTAGTCTGAATCTGCAAAAGCGATGAGGAGTCCTGTGGCACCTTATAGACTAACTGAAGTGTAGGAGCATAAGCTTTCGTGGGCAAAGACCCACTTCGTCAGATGCATCTGATGAAGTGGGTCTTTGCCCACGAAAGCTTATGCTCCTACACTTCAGTTAGTCTATAAGGTGCCACAGAACTCCTCGTCGCTTGTGAGCATGGGCTCAAATATAAGGTATGAAACCACGTATGTTGAAAATGCTAGGCAACATTATTCAGCAAGTTGTTTTAAGTCCCAGGTTAAAACCATAATATCAGCAATATGCTGTCTAATTTTTTAGCAAAAGAAAAATAGGGACTTCTATTGAGACCCAGGGTTTTGTGGGAATTTTTACTGTCCAAAACTTTTTGTGAATTTGAAGCATGAATGGATTCCTAATCATTTACTGAATGTTTCTGACAAACTGAAAAAGAAAATCAAGCAGTAAGCTCCCTGGTGTTCCTGCTGTACTGAAAAGTTACAATGTAACTGCTGTACAAGAGATACATTGTGGAGCCTAAAACCTAATGTGTTAACATACAGAGAAGATCTTTAAAGACAATGGAGATGTGTTCTGTGTAAAGCCAAAGTTACGCTTGACAGTGGCCACTGTACAGCAGGTACACAACAAAGATCTCAAGGGAACATCTGAACTCTCACAGTTTGAAGGCAGGCATAGTAAGGAGCCTGCCAGGGCATGATCCTGTGGGTGGGAAGGGGGATAGTGGGGGCAGGGCTGTGGTTCATGTAGCTTCCCTCCTCTGGGTCCACCACATTCTGCTTCTCAGGAGAGCGCTACTGTGCTATTTTCCCAGAAGCCTGCAGGGAAGAGGGCAGAAGGGAGGGAGGAGGTGCCAGAGGTTGAAGCCATGGTAGCAGCAGAGGCAGCTGCTAATAGCTTCTCCTCTTCTTTCATCCAGGTTGCCATGCAAGATAGCAAACTTTTCCAAATCAGACAGAGTGATAGGGAGCTGATGCTGAGTGAATGTAGCCATAAACCTGGGCCTTATGCTGCATTGCTGTGTGCTACAGTGCCACCAGACCACTTATTGTTGCCTTGGCATGAGAAGGTGTCCTATCATGGAGGCTGGTCTCCCCAGAAACCTTGTGAGAAGGATCAGAGTTCCTATCTGAGAGCTTCATGGAGATGTGCAGAAAATTCCCGCTCTATCTCCAGATATGTTAACATGTTGTTCTAGGTTCCTCGCACTATGTAGGCACAAAGTACACCACATATCACACCTAATTGCCTTAACTTGTAGCAAGAAAAAATTTAGGCTCATATTTTTTTAGTACACTCCCGCACTTCATCTAGCAATAGTTGGCGTCCTGTAGCTGAGCCTCCCAGGTCAATGCAAGAACCTCAACAGCATGGTCTTTGTGAATCCAAATAGGATGGACAGATCATCATCATCTGTATGAATGTGTATTTGCATATTTGACAATTTCTTTGTCCTCCCCACATGTGGCAGTTAATCCTATAATACCAGCTACAGCTGATGATTTTATGACTCTCCTGTTAATATACCTAAGTATAATATTAGCTTCTTTCACAACTGCATCACATTGTTGACTCTCATTCAGCTTGTGATCCACCTCCAGAACTTTTTGAGCAGTACTACTATCAAGCCAGTTACTCTCTATTTTGCAGTTTTGCATCTAATTTTTTCTTCGTATGTGAAGTACTTTTTTGCTTGTCTTTATTGAAATTTATCTTCATTCAAACCAATTTTCCAATTTCTCAAGGTCATTTTGAATGTTTGCAATCCTTCCCAGCTTGTAGCATTTCTACTGTGCTGTCTGAGCGCCAAAGGTAGTTTACTTGCATATGAGAGGGGTGCACTAGTTACTTTTTCATTCTCCCATATTCTGTAAACCTCCTTGTCATTGTCTGTTAGCTTCCTGATTACAGGAGTCGATTGAGGATAGAGATAGGGCATTTTCAGTGAGGGGCTATTAGCTCTGGAGCTTCAGTTGAACTAATTTTTTGTATTGTTTTTACACTTGGATGACACTGTAAAACTAATTCTCCAAAATGATTTTAGGGGTTTATTGTTTTTTGGAGTGTGTGTGGAGGGCAGGGGGGGAGGAAAATTGATTGATTGGCTTAGCTTTTTTGTGGGGAGGTGAAAGGGATTGTCTCCTTGCATGAATATAGTCAGAATACATATCCAAATCTCTCTGCAATGTTCATATTATCTGAAGTCATTGTACACTGATGGAAAAATACGTTAAAGTATTTGTTTTCAATTATGTAGCATTGCTGGCACAGATAACACTATTCCTAGTTGTGTGACTCTAAATACCGGTAACTCTCTGTACTGGCCTTGTGAGATTTAGCTTGTTTGTGTGGTAAGATGAAAGCCCAAAACATAAGCCAATGCAGCTTGCACTTCATTGGAGTTGTATACTCTTACAGGAGTACTTTGCAGCATTGACCCCAAATAAATATTTTTTTCAAGTATAATGCCTCATTGTGTGACCTTCTCAGAAAGTTTTGTCTTATATAGAACTTCCAGTCCAAAGAAGTCTGATAGCTTTTTTTATATGAAATAGTAGCATTTATTTGAAATCAGTACAACTTTAAATATCCTTCTGTGTTCTGCCTCTTATGTTCACAGAATCAAATTAAAATCTGCTGTAAGCAGGTGAAACTCCACAGACTTAGTGTTTTCTTATATTTATGGATTTAAGCCAGGCACATAATGTCATTAACTATACTCTGTGTATTTTTCTTCATTAAACATGACATTCTTTCCATAGACATTATGTAACTTACAACATAAATGTCACTTTAAACAGATGAGTGTTTTCTCATCCTTTCAGAAAGCAATGATGCAGTTTGAATGGCATGATGGGACTGTGAAAAACGTTCATGTGGATCCACCAATATTATATGACTATCAGGTGAGTTATTGTATTTGTTTGCTTGGTCCTGCTATCCAGGACTACATGCACACCTAATTATTCCAACAAAGGTTATTGTCTACACTTGCCATTTAAAGCAGAAAAAGTTCCTTTTTTGCATACAAACCATTTGGCAGTGTCTACACTTACCAATGAGTTTTTGCAGTGAAATTCAGAAGTTTCATCCCCAAAAGAAAACCATCTCCTCAAGAGGTGTACAGCTCTTACCTGTGATGCTTTTGCAGTGATGTGCAAGTGAAGGCATTCTCCAACTATTTATAAAGCTTTTAGCCTCTTTAGGATGTCCCACAGTGTCTAGGTGACCACTGTAACCAGCACCTCTGCTGCTTTCATGCCAGGTAAACAGATGTCCGGTCCTACCCCTCCAAAGCACTGGGAAGTTTGAAATTCTCTTTCCTTTTTTCTTGACAAGTGCTCACTTATCATCTGGTCAGGTGATAATGCCTGCTCCCCTTCAGGCAGTAATTCTGAGCTACTATTTAGGGAGAGGGGCTATGCAGCAACCCAGGATGCCCTGCAACACCACAAGAGCTGCATTGTGGGATAGTTGCCCTTAGGGTACTCCTCTCCTCAGTGATGGAAGTGCTGAAAATGTAAACACTCTGATGCCTCTGATAGTAAATGAAAGCACAAATCAATGCTTTTCTTTTACTGGTTCCCTATCACCAGTGAAACTGACAGTGGAAAAATGCAGCCTCAGTCATTATCTGCTTTGAGGAGAGCCCAGCAACAGAGAGGGTTCACAGGCACAATTGATTACAAGATGAGATGCTGACAGCTCTTATTGAATGTATATATGCAGCATACAGGACCCAGTAACCTGCAGATATATGAACAGATTCATCTAACAATGAAGGATTCTAAGCAAGGGGAACAGGTCTGTGAGAAACACTGCTGGACTAGTGCCAAACATATTCTATGGTCCAGCAGCAAGTTACTGTGAACACATAGTAATTATTTCATCCTATTCTGTTGTTCTGTGTGTCTTATAAACACACACATTGTACAGTGTTAAAGTGTAGTAACTCCCAAATTCTCACTAACACAACCCTCTCCTATAATTTCATACCTTAATTACAAGGTGTAAGCATGCTTTCATGTGTTACAACTGAGAACACCAAGTTCAGGTCACACTGCTGAGAAATAGGGCAAATATACCAAAATTGCTATTGATTATTCTTCCATAAGGTATACAAAGCCAGCCACAAAAGTGAACTTCTGTCTCACCACACTGGCTAACAAAAAGTCATAAAAGTATTTTCCCAAAGCATTCCAATTTTTTGTATCACCCCAAAAACACTGGATTCAGAGATAAGTGATTCTTTACAATCAGTCATCAGATAAAAGGTTCTTCTGATCCCAAAGGACCAGCCATATATCTGGAGAAGGGTAGTGGAACGAGCTGGCCCATAACCATGTACAAAAATTCATTAAGTGGCCACCATGCAAAAATTATTGCCCACCCCTGCATTAGCCTAAGTCCGTAGTCCAGAGTTTTGAGAAGGAAAGAGGCAAAATGGAGATATATCCAGGGAAATCCATTATGTCAAACAACCCTCAGCGCAACTAGTGGAAAATTACAGGGAACAAGATGGGGTTTGAAGTCACATGAGCAAGTCATATGTCCATATGTTGCTTAGTCACAGCAAAAGCCATTACCCACGTTCTAGTTTGAATGTGCAGAGGAAAGTCCATTAGGTGTAGAATGGTGTCCTGCACAGTCCATTGTGATATAGAATACTTATCCACAGTACAACATATCTTTTGCTGGTATAACTTCATGTCAGACATGATGGACTAGCACAAACAATGGGGTGAACACGTTCTGTTGAAATAATTAGTGGAACTGAGTTGGCAAAACTTTTCCTGTTCAAACTTTCTAGTGTAGATGTCAGGGCATTCTAAAACCTGAATTACACAGTACCATGAATTGTACATATGTTCATTCCCTCTGGGGCACCTGGCATTGTTAGTTGTTGAAAGACGGGATACTGCGGTAGATGGATCTTTGATCTAACCTAGTATGGCCATTCTTGGTCAATCAGCCCTGGACACCAGAACTTTTAGAGGCAGAACTCCACATCCCTGCAGTTATGTGCTGAGCTCATTCGAGTCTTGCTGCACAGAATACCAAGACAAAAGTTGTCCTTCCAACAGAAATGAATGGCAGTCATCATATGGAAATTTTCAGCCCTATAGTGTTGTCAGCCTGTAAAGAATCAGTTTGGCACTGGAAAATCAACAGTGGAAGCATTCATCATGAGATACTCAAGGCAATAAAATGTGCTCTGCTATACAGGGCAGTAAGGTAGAGCAATATGCAGGAAATAAGATGGATTCAACAACATAGGCATCTTTAACTATTCAGAGAGTAGACTATGCATGTCCCCATTCTATGCCCTCCCAACCACCAGCCTGCAAGTAAATAAAATGGATGTTTCTTGATAGTTATGTAGATCTTGGTGGCCTTCCCCACAGTTATTGCTGCCTGCTGTGGATTGCATAATATCTGTGAGACAAGGATGGGACTCTAATACCTACATGGATAAAGTGAGATTGTCAGACAGGCTGTTGGCTAAATTCAAACAGCCTGAAAGTAAGCTAGTTAATAGTGCCACCATTAGCGTTGTGAGGAGGTAGGAAGCTTAAGAATTTCCTCTGTCAGTGGCTCTAGAGGTGATCCTGGCAATTACAGACCAGTAGGTCTAACATCAGTACCGAGGAAATTAGTTGAAACTATAGTAAAGGATAAAATTGTTAGACACATGGATAAACATAATTTGTTGAGGAAAAGTCAACATGGTTTCTGTAATGGGAAATCATGCCTTACTAATCTACTAGAGTTCTTAAGGGCCGGGAGGGGTCAACAAACATGTGGACAAGGGGGATCCAGTAGACAGAGGATTTCCGGAGGGCCTTGGACAAGGTCTCTCATCAAAGGCTCTTAAGTAAAGTTAGTTGTCGTGAGATAAGAGGGAAGGTCCTCTCCTGGATTGAAAACTGGTTAAAAGACAAGAAACAAAAGGGTAGGAATAAATGGTAAGATTTAAAATGGAGAGGGGTATCTTGTGGTGTCCCCCAAGGGTCCATACTGGGACCCATCCTATTCAACCTATTTATAAATGATCTGAAAAATGGGGTAAACAGTGAGGAGACAAAATTTGCAAATGATACTAAACTGCTCAAGATAGTTAAGACCAAAGCAGACTATGAAGAGCTTCAAAAAGATCTCACCAAACTAAGTGATTGGGCAACAAAAAAGCAAATGAAATTTAATGTTGATAAATGTAAAGTAATGCACATTGGAAAAAATAATCCAAACTATAAATATAATATGATGGGGATTAATTTAACTATAACTACTCAAGAGAGCAATCTGGAGTCATTGTGGATAGTTCTCTGAAAACATCCACCTACTGTGCTGTAGCAGTCAAAAAAGCAAATAGAATGTTAGGAATCATTTAAAAAGGGTTAGAGAATAAGACAGAGAACATCTTATTGCCCCTATATAAAATCAGGTATACCCACATCTTGAATACTGCGTATAGATGTGGTTGCCTCATCTCAAAAAAGACATATCGGCATTGGAAAAGGTTCAGAAAAGGGCAACAAAAATTATTAGACGTTTGGAACTGGTCCCATATGAAGAGAGATTAAAAAGACTGGGACTTTTCAGCTTAAACAAGAAGGCTGTGTCTACACTGGCATCCCTTCCGGAAAAGGGATGCTAATGTAGCACGTTGGAATAGGCAAATCCGCGGGGGATTTAAATATCCCCCGCGGCATTTGCATTAACATATTAACTAATTCGAATTAAGTTAGTTCGAATTAGCGCTGTAGTGCAGACATACCCATAGCGACAGGATAGGCCAGCCCTCAAACATTGATCAGAAACTGCCTTTAGTTTCTAGGTCACATGGTAGCATGCACCTTCGACACCCCAAACACCAGAATATTCATTAGGGCTCTGTCTACATGTAGCACGTTGGAATAGGCAAATCTAGACATTATTCTCCGGAAAATAACGCCTTTTCCAGAGGAGGAGAATAACTTGAAAGTAGGAATAAGAAATCCCAATGCTGCCTTTGGAAAAACCTCCCCCAGGAGACCAGGGAGAGGCAGAGCAGCCTGAAAAAAGCGGCAGCCATGTTAATGCAAATGCTGCGGGGGATATTTAAATCCCCCACGGATTTGCCTATTCCAAAGTGTACATTAGCATCCCTTTTCCGGAAAGCGGTGCCAATGTAGACACAGCCGAGGAGACTAAGGGGGGATATGATACAGGGCTATAAAATCATGACTGGTATGTAAAAAGTGAATAAGGAAAATTTATTTACTTGTTTCCATAACATAAGAACTAGGGCGGAGTCACCAAATTAAATTAATAGGTAGCAGGTTTAAAAAAACAAAAGGAAGTTTTTCCTCCCACAGTGCACAGTTGGCCTGTGGAACTCCTTGCCAGAGGATGTTGTAAAGACCAGAACTTTAACAAGGCTCAAGAAAGAACTAAATAAATGTATCAATGTCTATTAGCCAGGATGGTAGGAATGGTGTCTCTAGCCTCTGTCAGAGACTAGGAATGGGTGATGGGAGAGGGATTGCTTGATAATTCCCTGTTCTGTTCACTCCCTCTGGGGCATCTGGCATTGGCCACTATCAGAAAACAGGATACTGAGCTAGATGGACCTTAGGTCTGACCCGGTATGGCCATTTTTATGTTCTTATGTCACCACAACAAAATCCTTACTTAAAGGTCTCAAATTTCCAGTGTGAAAGAGAGCAAAGCTCTCCGAAGATTTTGGACCATCTGCATTGGTGAGTAACTCTGAACCTTTAAGGGATAACTATGTCCAGCGTTCCCTGTAAGGTGTGCGCCTGTACAGATGTACACCAAAATTTGAGGCCTGCCCACCTCCTCAGGAGAGCCGAGCAGGGGCTGCTTAGTTGCTCCTGGGACAGGGCCACATAGTGGGTGGCTG